TTATCATGGCATAGTCATTATCATAAACCTATATCTATATATCTCTGTGACCAATTGGGTTGGGGGAGATGGAGTAATAAAAGTTATACCTGAGTGAAACATGAAGACTGTTGGTGAACAAAATGCCACCTTCATCCTTGGAAGAGGCATTCCCTTTGGTATAATCCTATTGTGCTAATTTAAAACACAACCAGGTAAAGAGTCTATGGGTTAAACCATATCTGAAGAGAAAGTAAAATACCTGATTAGTAGCATACCTAAATCCTATTAAACGCTCAGGTTTACTTGCATATCTTTGTGAGTCTCAAGGTCTCCTGAAATGTCTTTGTTTGAGAAAAGAGTGGGATTAGGCCACTCCTGCTGAATATATGTGAATTTGTTCCATTTATCCCATATGTAAAGATATTCAGTTGGTCAATGACTAGAAAATGTAAAAACATTGAGTATGACATACATGCATTAGCTGGTGTTAATTGTTAGCATTATTTTACTCAGATGAAAGCCATTACTTACCTCGCACTTCAGAGTGCCCCTAATGAATACAGGAAAGAATGCCTTGACAATAGGAATTAGTACATTATGGTGGTTGTAGAATAAATCAGTATTGTTTATTTTTTAAAGACTTTGTTTAACTTAGTTTATTGTGGTTTTAGTTATACAGAAGATTTCAGGTTCTGTATAGTCAGATTGGTTCATCTTTTCCTTTATGAGTTCTGGGTTATGGTCAAACGTAAAAAGTCCTTTCTTATCAATAGAAACGTACACAAGCCTCTTAGATAGCCTCATCCACCAGAGGGCAAACAGCAGAAGCAAGAAGAACTACAATCCTGCAGCCTGTGGAACAAAAACCGGATTCACAGAAAGATAGAGAAGATGAAAAGGCAGAGGGCTATGTACCAGATGAAGGAACAAGATAAAACCCCAGAAAAGCAACTAAATGAAGTGAAGATAGACAACCTTCCAGAAAAAGAATTCAGAATAATGATAATGAAGATGATCCAGGACCTTGGAAAAAGAATGGAGGCAAAGATCGAGAAGATGCAAGAAATGTATAACAAAGACCTAGAAGAATTAAAGAACAAACAAACAGAGATGAACAATACAATAACTGAAATGAAAACTACACTAGAAGGAATCAATAGCAGAATAACTGAGGCAGAAGAACGGATACGTGACCTGGAACACAGAATGCTGGAATTCACTGCTGCGGAACAGAATAAAGAAAAAACAATGAAAAGA